ATATAAGTTAAAAAATGGGATAAAGTTTGATTAGTAAACTAGAAGGTAATTGCAGTAGAAATTTTTGAGGCATTGGAGACTCCAGAAGTATTATTTTTTATTATGATTGTGTTGTGTAATTTCTCATTGATTATCAATTATTATTTTTATTATTTTTATTTTTATATGATAGCTGATAGCTTATGAGGGCTACAACCCAAATTGGGGATAGAGGGATGTAGAAATGGAACCCAAATTGGGAATAGAGGGATGCAGAAATGGATGTGGTAGAAATTACAGTATGTGCAAACACTTATAAAGTGGAGTTTAGAAAGAGAAAATAAGAATGGATGTGCAAACACTTAGATCACTTGATTTTTCATGTTCTTCAACAAGATCCCTTTCAACATTGTTTTCATGTTCTTTATGATCTTATTGGATGATATGTATGTTTCCACTATTTATTATAGAAAACATTCAAGAATATTCCCCTTGGTCCCTTTTTCAAAATTGTTTGATTTGAAATTTTAGAAAAAAGAATCATTTTCATTGAATGTTACATCCCGAGAAATATAAAAATTCTTATTTTGAAGTCATAACACTTACATCCCTTTTTTGTTGGGCAGTGCCTCATGAAACACATTTAAAAGCCCGAGGATCCAATTTATCTCTTCTTTGAGAATTATTGTGAACAAAAAAACACATCCAAATATACATAAATGAGATAAATCATTTTTCTTTCCATTTAGAATTTCAATAGGAGACTTATTCCCAAGGACCTTGCTTGGTAGCTTATTAATCAAATAAAAGGCAGTAAGAACAACTTTAGACCAAAAAATTTTAGAGACATTTTTTTTTAACATGATAAATCGAGTAACTTCAAGCAAGTGTCTTTTTTTTTTTCTGAGACATCCTATTATATTGGGGAGTAGAGACACAAGATGTTTGATATATAATGCCTTGATCCACGAGATATTCAGAAAAAAATTTATTTGTGTATTCGGATCATTATCCGAACGTAGAATCTTGATCTTGGCATTATATTAGGTTTTAACTAGATTTGAAAATTCCTTAAATTTTCCAAAGACTTACACTCTTGAATTTAAACAAATATATCCAGGTCATCCTAGATAAATCATCAATGAAAAGCATAAAATGCCTCAGTGTATTATAGGACTCAACCGAAGCAGGCCCCCACACATTAGAATCAATCAAGTCAAAAAAGATTTCAGCCTTATTTCCCGAAGACTGAAAGGGAAGTATTGGCTGCTTTGACAAATGACACACATCACAATTATAAAAGTCAATGAATAATTCAGATTTTAAATAAAGTAAAGATTTATTGATAAGATGAACAAGTCTGGAATGCCAAATCTTGCTCAAGTTTTCATTATTGGCAACCAAGGCCTTATTCTTCTGATCAATATAATAAAATCCTCAAGACAATCTTCTCTCACCATTCATCTTCCTCATGTCCTGATCTTGAAAGGAAATAATAAAAGGAGAAAAAATAACATTGCAGTTCAAGTTTTGAGTTAGTTTACTAGTGGAGAGAAGGTTTAAAGGGAATGAGGGCATAAAAAGGACATCAGAATTGACATTTTTTGAAAAAAAACTTAGTTCTACCTATTCCTTTAATGGAGATGAGTGAACCATATGCAATTGATACAGGGGCTTTATCAAACACATCTTGATAAGTATACAAAGAATTCATATTTCCAGTCATATGATCTGTAGCCCCTGAATCAATAATCCAATTATCATTATTAGAGGGATAAAGGGATTGGAGAGCACAACATTTACCTGACTCACGAGGAAGATCTTGTGTGGAAGATGAGATATTTTTTTGTAAAATATTGAAAGAATTGAGCCAGTTATCTTTAGAGATCTAAGTATCGACAGTCTGAGCCGATGAAAGTTCACCTATTCTATTTCTATTGGGTCTTAGGTGAGGGTGCTTTTCGCAACATCTATCAACCAGATGATTAATACCTTTACAATGATCACAACGTAGAGGAGGTCTATTACCATGACCTCTTCCACCACCCTTAGCTCCACCATAACCTTTTTTTTTAAAATATATTATCCCTTTTTCTTCTCAGTATTCTCCTTAGCAGCAACAAAGATGTATTTTTCACTTATTTCATATTCAGACTTTATTTCAACATGCATAACCTTTCTCGGGTTTCTTCCCGATGAATAATAGAACAAACATTTGTAAATGTTGAGAGTTCTGTGGTCATCAAAATCTGATTTCTAAAATTCTCATACTTAGGCTTCAAACCAACAAGGAATGAAAATATTTTGTCTCGTGCAACACGCTTTTGAATGGTTTTCAGATCAGTTGTTATGGGTGAATAATACATAAATTCATCCCATAATATTTTGAATAGAGCAAAATATCCAGTGATAGTTTTATCTCCTTGTTTGATTTTAGGAATTTCTTGCTTTAACTCATAAACACGAGAGAGATTGTTATCTTTTCTATAAACTTCTTTTATTGAGTCCCACAATTTTTTGGCAGTATCTGCCGAAGTAAAGATCTTGGCCATCTTTGGTTCCATAGAATTCAAAATCCAAGACACGACCTTGTGGTCATTGGATTGCTAATTTTCATATAGGGGATCATCAATAGCATGAGCTATTTTCTTTCTATTGATGTATCCTAACTTGGATCGCCCGCTCAAAAAAAGCGAGACTGCTTTTGACCAACTTAAATAATTTAGTTTGTTCAAAGGAATACTAGTTCATTTATCACTAGTATTAGACTCGTTTTCATGGATAATGGTTTTAGGTTCAGGGTTCATATTCACAATATCTTCCAAAATGTAAAAAAAAACTGAACCAAAAACAAGAAGACCAAACCCAAAAAGAAGGAAACTGACCTGAGCAAGTGCACAAATTGAATAATACTGCTCTAAAAGCCCAAGAGGCAAGAGAAGATACCAGAAAAATGAATACCCAAGTTGATGGAAGAAACAACCACCTTGAAATAATATTGTCTTGAGGACCACCTCTTTACCTTTTGTAAAAGAGTCAAGAACAAATCCATTGTACTTGATAATCACGGACTTCACACAAAAAAATTGTTATTAGAGACCAGAGTTCATTTTGCAAAAAACGAAGGCTTTTTCTCTCTAGCTTTTTTTTGGAGAGACACCTCTGGCCATCGATCTCCAGTGCGTCTCACAATCGAGCACCAGAGAAAAAGGGGAAAAGTCTAAGAAAAAAAGGAGCGAAAAAAAGAAATATTCTGGTGAGGTTAGAGAACGAGAGAGCAGAAAAGAGCGTGAGAGAGAGTGAAGATCGTAAGAGATCTTGAGAGAATATCGTGAGAGAAAGCAATGATAGATTTAAGACAATACTGTGAGAGAGATCTTGAGAGAGAGAGAGAGAATAGCGTGATCAAAAAGAGAGAGAGAGATATGAGAGAATATCGTGAGAGAGAAAATAGGGATCTCAGATCTTAAAGAGAGAGTCTCAGATCCGAGAAGACAAGATTACCCCAAGGTAACACAAGAGATGGGAACTCACCAATGGCCTACGTCCACAGTGAACAATGTATTCTTTATTCTGTCATGGAAAAAATACACAGCCTCAAGATAGATAATATATAGAAGAAGGGAGCAACAGTTACATTCCATAAAAAACTTATCAAATCTCATAATATATGTTAACCTTCCAAAAATAACAACTACCAACAAGTAAACCACGGTAGTACGATAGATTGGCAATGAGGTGGCGACAGGGTGGCAACACGTTTCAATACTCATGATGGGAAGAGGAAGTATCACCTAGTAAGTTAGGACAAAATTTGTTCTTGTAAGGTGGAAAGGGGGTTGGGGATCCGTAAGTCGAAATTGATGAATCAGACTTTGCTATCCAAATGGTGGTGGAGATCTATTTGGAAGTGGCGAGTTCCTCATAAAATTAAATTTTTTCTTTGGGCACTTTCTCAGGATAAACTATTCGCAGTAGACAATTTGAGGAGAAGAGGTAAAGTAATTGTCAATATTTGTATCCTATGCAAAGAGGCTGAAGAACGTGGAGATCACCTGTTCATTCATTGTAAAGTTCCTTTTAGCCTTTGATATTGGGCTTTTCAACTTGTTGGGTCCTCTTTTTCTCTGCCGCTTAGCATCTCAACATTATTGACTAGTTATCTCTCCCCTCTTTACCTAAGAAAGGTGCAATTATTTGGAAGATCTTTAGGGCGTCACTCTTATGGGAAGTTTGGCTTGAAAGGAATAGGAGAACATTTAAAGGGGGTGAGTTCGGAGATGATTGATATTAAACAGAAAATCTTGCATAATGTTTGGTTTTGGTACACCAATACGAAAGATGGTTTTGGGGTGTCAAAAACTGATATTTCCTTTAATCTTCACTTTTTGATTTATGAGCCTACGGTAAATTCTAGACCTCTTGGGAGATGGATGCCTCCTGTTCAAGGGTGTGTTAAATTGAATTTCGATGGGAGTCCCCTGGGTAAGCCAGGCCCAACTGGTTTTGGTGGAGTCGTTAGGGATTGGAGGGGAGAGGAGGTTTTCTCCTTTTCAGGTCCTTGTGGGGTTGCTACAACTAACTGTGCTGCAGTACTTAATGGTGTTAAGCTATTAAAGACTCGGTGTGCCAATGTGGAATGGATGGTTGAAGGCGACTCGCTGAATGTGATTAATTGGTGCTATGGGTTAAGGAGGCCTCCATGGAGTTTAAGGAAATATTTGCTTCAATTGGTAGATATCTGTCAGGTGGTTGCTTTCCATCACGTTTATAGGAAGGCCAATGACGGGGCAGACTCTTTAGAGAAACTTGGGGTTAATGTTGGTCGCCTCTTTATTTTGCTTTTGTTGTAATCATGTAGTGTTTTTCCTTTCGTAATTAATAAAGTTATTTGCTCTTGTCAAAAAAATAAAATAAAAAAACACTCAAAATCAAAATAGGGGATGTTTTCCGGGATATCAGAGCATCATGGAATTGTTTTGGGAGCAGCAAAGTAGCATGTGGCCTGAAGCCTGAATTTTGGCTAATGGAATTCCCATAAACTTTCGACCCTAAAATGTTAGGGACTGTGCTAGTATAGTGGATCGTGGTACCATAGCTATAGTCTATAATCCCTAGGAAGGATATCGTAAAATTACCAGATCATACAAATCCACCTAAATCTATCCCAATCTACCCAGAGTCTATTCAAATCTATCCGGACTTATCCATAATAACAAAATAAGATTAGAATTAGGAGAGAACAAGTATTCGAAACCCCAAAAAAGAATCCAAATTCAATTGTACCTACACTAGATCGAAACCCCAAAACACGGATTTACCTCATCATCTGGAGGTTGAGTCTACCCAACTAAGGCCCTATGCGACACAATGCAAGCCACGAAAATCTAATGACTTTGGGAGAAAAAGCCAGCTCTTTTTTTGGCATAAGAATTTAGGTCATACACATTAGTAAGGTTGAATCCAAATGTCTAAGAAAAAATTGCTGTTTTGGCATAAAAGATTAGGTCATACACATTAGTAAGAGGTTGAATCCAAATGTCCAGGAAAAAATTGCTGGCAGAAAGAGATCAACCCCAACCGAATGAGTTCGGTCATGTTGCTACACGAGCTACTATTTTGAAAGCTTATGGAATGTTGATTAAACTTTTGGAAGTTTTATGACCTATAAATAGATCAAATGTCTAAGAAAGGATTACTGGGGAACAAGAACAACCCCATTTCCCCAACACGACTGAGTTCAGTCCTGTTGCTACACGAGCCACTATTTCAAAAGCTTATGGAATGTTGATTACACCTTTTGGAAGTTTTATGGCCTATAATTAGATCCGGAACAAACTTTAGAGATTTAGAAGAAACCTGGTAGCCCTAGAATTTTGAATCCTTTTAACCCCTGAGATTTAGAAGAAACCTGGTCAAGCAAGAAAATCCTAGGCCAAAGCTCTTTCAAAACCACCAAACCTCGACTTCAACTGGCATTAAAAGTTGAGGACACCGCAAATGTAAAATCTAATCCGGGCCACAAACGCTAGATGCCTAGTTTAAGACCTGGCCCGCAAGTTATTCTTTTATTTCTTTCACTTTCTAATTTATTTCTTTCTTCTTTGATTTTTTTCAAATTTTTCTTGGTTTCCTTTGGTTTTGACGCAATCACTCAAAGATGAATCATAAGAGTGAAGCCATATGGCTAAACTTCGAAAATTCGTAAATCAACACAATCTATCTTCTTTACCAATTCCAATTGATTAGATGAAATCTTCCTAGACCGAGCTGATAGCACTAGGCCAATACTTCTACTCTCAATTCATAAGGGTTAGAAAATAGTGCAAAACTAATAATCCACAAAGAATTAAAAAACAATCCTAACACATAAATATAGTACACTTATACGATGGGAAGTCCCTTTTCCTTTTAATTTATGAACATGATGGTCAAGAGTATTGACCCGTAACATTACAAGTGCAAAACCAGTACATAAGATGGATTTTTGAAAGAGGTCACATTGGAACAGGCGCACCAGACCACATCGTTTTTATGATAAAAGGGTTGATATGATTCACATCTAGCATGCTCATTTAAGCAAATATCATTTACCTGCAGAATAGGAATCACAACAAGAACCAGTCTTCCAACTTACGAGCAGTTATTTTATAAGAAACCTTCTGGTATTATTCCATTAGAAGCCTAATCTCTACGGCCCGTCAACCCTAGAGGTTATAACTTATTGCTATTTAGGCAGCCAAGTCTACAGATTATACAATTTCAAAATTCATTTTGGTAATTTGTTTAAAGGTCTCCAAGACTTCATATCCCTTTTGCTAATCCAAGAACCAACATTAAAACAATCTATAAGTAAGACTTCATCTAAATTTCAGCTAAAATTTTTCCTCACGAATGATTCATAGCACACAAAATCTGCATCATTACCACCTGTTTCTCTTCAAAATCCACAGAAAACAGAAAAAGAAATATAAGTTTGCAAAACTCTTCCGCATAGATGGATCTCAAGCCCAAAAGGATTATAAAAAGGCTCAAGAAATCACAGCCTGCGCCCTCTTCGTCCACCCTTTCTCCGGGTGCTGTCGGTTGGAATTGGAGTCACATCCTCTGCAACCAACAATAAAACACAATGAGCCCATCGATCCAATACCAATGTTCCACACAAACCATAGACTTTAAGAGTTATACCTACTTCAAAGAATTACTGTCTCCAGAAAGGGTTAGTATATATTTCATGCAAAGAGGGGCTTCCCCATCTCTCATGGACTGTCAGCATAATGGCTCTTCTCCACCTTCCATGAGGAAGGGCAATGCCACTTTGTGTATTGCACACCATACGCATTATCCACACATATTATGTATGTACCAGTGTTTAAAAACTCGAACTTGGTGGTCAGTTAGGTTTCCCACCAAAACTGAGTTGATTCACCAAGTTGAACAGCCAACTCGTAAAAAATCAGATGAGTTTTTCATTTTTATTTTGTGGGAGGCATTAAAAACAGAAACATGTATATATTCTTAAACTCAGGAAAACTAATCTTAATATTAATATACAGCAACTGGCTGAATCAAGTTCAATCAGCAAGTTTTTCTAAGTAAAACAATTGGTCTTTAGCATACTATTCCATTCTGAAAGTCAGAACGTTTTCCATCATAATGGGGCCAATATATTTTTTCTTTTTATTAATAGGGGCAAATACAGTTGTTACAAGCATATGATATAAAGGTCATCCCAAGAAGCATAGATAACTTTTGGGATCTACAGTTGCCATTCTTCTTTACTTCTCTTCCTTATCTTCCCCTTGTCTGCTCAATATCATGATGGATGTAAGTGCTACTACAGAGTAAAAAGAAAATGAGTAAACATTTTACCTATGCGTCCAATCCTCATCCCAGACCTAGCTAGCGCTCGAAGTGCAGACTGAGCTCCAGGACCAGGTGTCTTGGTCTTGTTTCCTCCAGTGGCACGAAGCTTGATATGAAGAGCAGTGATGCCAAGCTCCTACAAAAATATTCAAAGTCAATTCGGAAAAGGACCCACATATCTATGACAAAGGATCTAAAATTGAACCCACATCATGTTAAAATTTTGATCATCAAGACAGATGTATAAATTGGAGAGGCAATTAGACATACTACAAAGAAAAAGAGTACCTCTACATACTAAGCTCAAGTTCCTTTTTCTTTTCTTTTTTTAATCATTTCCTAAGCTTGAAAGTTAGCCAATTAATTTAGCTCCTCATCAAATTTTTAAATAACTATACATGCTAAGCTCAAGTACTTTTTTTTTTTGGATCATTTCTTAAGCTTGAAAGTTAGCCAATTAATATAGCTCCCCATCAAATTTTTTTTTTTTGCGTTTTTTTTTTTTTTCAAAGAAAGCTCCTCAAAAAAAATTTGTTATGACAAGAAAAATCTAAAACCGTACATGGACTACACTCTCCCATTACCAATATATGGTGTTCTCATAACTAAATATCTAGATCGGTCTCATGTAAGCATAAGCTAAACAACCTTACATGGAAACTCAATTTACAAGGCTAACAAATGAACATCAATGAATCATACTAAATATTGATAAAAAACATGAACTACAAACTATAAAGATTCCATAATAAACACCATCAAAATGCTTATAGAGGTCATCAGAAACAACAGACATAACAAGCATCTTCATTTGGTTGATAACCATTATTATACTAGTAATGAATAAAAAGGATAAACAAAATCAAGCTTAGCATGAATAGAAATAAACAAGCAGCCTAATATGTTTCCTAACTTGATTAATAGATCAACAATGAACAAACCTTGCATCTTTGTGCAACATCTTGAGCAGCAAGCATGGCCGCATAAGGGGACGATTCATCCCTATCTGCCTTAACCTTCATCCCACCTGTGGTAAATATAAGAAACACAAGCTTGTAGTAACATTGTGACAGGCATAAAATAATGATAACTTCAGACACAAAGAGCAGCTTCAAATTAACTGTAGTGTACTCTTCAATATAGTATTCCTGCGATTATATTCACAATACCTGTAATTCGAACAAGTGTTTCTCTCCCAGATAGATCAGTGACATGCTGCAAGTCAAATGAATAGTGAATGAGTATTAGAAACTCCCAAAACAAAAAGCAGGAGAGGTTACCAAAATATGGGAGAAATCATAAACAAAAAATCCAACTATTTGTTTCTAAGTTTGGCAAAAAATTAGTGTCTACCAACTTCCTACTTTTCTATAGAAAAGTATCCGTAGAACTCATGAAGAGCAGGTCGCAACAGGTAGCAACATCTTGGGTTTCTTGCCAAGTTCAAGGAAAACTATAGTTTCCATACGTGAAAACTTGATATGATTCAGTAAACTGATAAAGTAATTGACACATTGGGGTGGAACTTATTTATTGGAATTTCCTAGAGACTGTCATAGAATTGAAGTGGGGAGGAAGATAAATTTCAGGGAATCTAAAAAACATCTCGGCATAGTCTAGTTAGATCCATTGAGATAATTCTTTGGGAACAAATAATTATAAATATAAAGAAATCCCACAAAGATTAGCCAAAACATTGCACAAATAAAAAGGAAAATGAAAAAAGTGCATACTTACCACGAATGTGTCATTGAACGAGGCAAATACATGAGCCACCCCAAAGACATGTTCACCTTCTCGAACAGTTGGTCCCAAAGTCACATTTTCCTCTTTAGGTTCCCTGGTTTTCTTTCTTCCGGACTGTTATCAACCCATTCAGTATTAGTTATGATAACAATGGATAAAGTACATTATGAATGCATATATTTATCCAAATATCAAACAAGTTCACATTAATAAAAGCAAGATCACAAAAACAGTTTCAAACGTCAACCAATTCAATGATTCTAACCAATATATCAGTAAAGAACATGACTTCTCAATAAGTTATAATCTGGTACCAATGAATTTAGTCAGGAAACACGTTTGATAAACATAATTCTAGAAGTATGTAACCACACAAAGTAAATCTAATGAACAACCTTTTTGTGGTGTGGGAAGCTAACATCTGACAAAACCCCAAGATACAAATATCTAAAAGAAAAGAAAGTTAAAACTACTCAACTTCAAGAGATTAGAAGCACCGTCCCCATTTTTTCAGAACCACGATCCTTAATAGAAGAGAAACAATTTTCTTTTCTTTTTTTTATCAATGGAGAGAAACACACACATTTGTCCAGAATTCCCAAAAGCAACAAAATATATAATCTGATTTACAAAAATTACATCAGTTCCTATGCATATGTCCGAACGACATCCCCAAATCACAATAGGAAAATGACAGGAAAAGATCAAAAGGCATAGAACGTAACGATCCGAAAATTTAAGTATTTGAATAGATAGCATAGAGAGTAAGCTGAAATGGTCCACCGAATCCTAGCCTATGCATAAACAAGAGAAATAAACATTCAATCTAGAGAGAAAAAATTGACCATTACGAATCTGTGAAGCAAAGTTAGAGCGAGAATAATCAAGACTGATAGCAAACGAGCAAGAATGCTAGAGTGACAAAAATCTAGAGAGAAAGACACTTGCCATCGTTGATTTGCAGGGGAACGAACTAAGGATTAGGGTTTCGCAGGCTGCCTCCGGCGCGAGTGAAGGAGGCTACGGACTAGGGTTTTGGTCATTTGGAAATTAACCGATGAAGCAATATAAATGACAGTGATAATTACGAAATTGCCCCTTATGTAATTATTGTGAAAGAGTGGGGTGTATTTGTCCTAAATGAAAATTTTCGTCGAATGGGCCTCTTGGTACAAAAACCCTAGCTTTTTCTTTTTGCTCATTCTGAGATAGTTTGGGTTTCCAAGTTCGCCCAAGCTGAGCCTTTCGTTCCTCTGCAACGCAAAAATGGTGAATTTCTCTCTCTAAAATTTCTGCTGTCTCTTCATAATGACTTCCTTTTCTCTCTCTAAAAATGGTGCTCTCTTCATCATGGCTACTCTCTCTCTCCCTC